CCAGAGAGCTGAAGCCAAGGCCTCAGACCGACGCCCGCACACGCGGGTCCACAGCACCCTCGGCAGCGAGTGCGAGGGCCCAAACGCCCCTGCGCCGACAGAGGAACAGCGAATGTGGCTTGTACACACGTGGGCGTGTCGCTCGGCCTTCAGGAGGCAGGAGAGTGACATATTGCGATGCGGCCGAGCCTGAGGACGTGAAGCTCGGGGACGTGAGCCGGTCACAGGACAGACACCGTCGATCCCCCTGCACGAGGTCCCAGGGGTCAGACCCAGAGACGGGGCAGAGCAGAGGGTGCCCGGCAGCCGGGGGTCGGGCAGTCAGCGCCCTGTGGGTGCAGCTTCTGTTCGAGAGGATGAGAAAGGCCTGAAGACGACAGCGGCGACGGCTTCAAAATGACGTGAATGTGCTTAGCGACGTGAACCGTGCACGTAAAGGTTAAAATGGGACGTTTTACGGAGAAAACAAAAGGGCAGCAAATCCGCCAGTGACTCCAAAGCGTACCGGTGCAAGAACGGGAACTGACACCGACCCGTGGCGGCGGGGGTTGTGCGGTGCCACCATGGGGGCCTCAGAATCCAAGTGCAGGGCCACCCAGGAGGCCTGGCCTGGGGGAGGGGATGGGCGGCCACAGCGTGAGGCCTACGCCGGAGCTGGACGCACAGATGGGAGACCGCAGAGCTGGATGCACAGATGGGAGACCGCAGAGCGCGTCCGTGGCCAGGCACACCCCAGGGGGGATGGGCTCCGCCTCTGCGCGCTGCCGCAGCATCCCCGGCCCTCCCCCCGCCAGGCCCCTGCCCCAGCCATCGCGACGCGGAGGGGGCAGGTGCGGGGACACAACCCACGCAACGGACTCGCTGTCCGTGTCCTCCCCGCGCTCGCGTGGAAGCCCCGCCCCCAGTGTGGCTGTGTCTGTGGAGGGGACCCAAGGAGGTCACGAAGGCCGTGTCTGACCCCCAGGGCTGTCCATGTCCTAGAAGAAGACAGAGCAGAGCTGCCTCCACCAGAGGACGCCCGGGATCTGACCAGGCCGCCCCGACCCTGGGCTTCCAGCCTCCAGAACTGAGGACACGAAGTTTGGATTCTCAAGCCCCCAGTTGCGGTGGGACGGCCCAGCAGACTAAGGGGCCTTCCGAGCACCCTGTTCTCTGCTTGTAGCTGCAGAAACCGACCGGTGTCCCAAGCGAGGACGCTGAGCCTCATGGGATGGAGTCTGCAGCGCGGGGCTGCGCCACGGCCACGAACACGGGTGCCTGGGCTCCCGCGTCCCAACCAAAGCAGCGTCCGCTTGCTCTGACGCACACTCGCTATGGGGCTCTGCTGCAGCCACAGCGCTGGGCTGTCCCACGGCCTCCAGACAGCCCCAGAGGCAGCAAGGCCCGAGGACGGCCACTGACCCCCAAGACCTGGTTTTCCTCTTCCAGCAACCCCCCGAGGCTGAAGCTTTCTGTGTGGCTGCACCCGGCACTCCTGGGGGCCTGGCTGCCCTGCCCTGCCCTGCCCTGCCCTGGGCCGCGCATGCAGAGGAGAAACTGGGTGTCGCAGAACACACGGCGGCTGCTCCTGCCCAGGTCCCTGGAGCCACAAGGACAGGCTGACCCCATTCTCCCAGCCCAGGAAGGACAACACCCCACCCACGCCTTGACTCCCTTGGGGGTGCGTCCTAAAACCTGGAGACCTGCAAGTTTTCACACTCGGAGCAGAGACTGCCAGGCGCGACGGGCCTGACCCCAGGGCTGCGGGAGGGAGGCCGCCACGCCCGTCAGCAGTGCCCGGCGCTTCCCGCAGGCCTGCAGAGCCCCCGGCGCCAGCGAAGGACAGAGCCCGGCAGTTCACCTGTGACGCTCCCACAGGACTGCAAGAGCCCACGTCCCCTGGACGCCCCACTTGATTTGGACGAGGACAAGATGGGCCCTAAAGTCAAGCCCCTGAGACCGGGCCACTCTCCAGGGGAGGGTGCGGAGAACCGCAGCACGTGTGGCGGCAAGACTGGAGCAGAGGCACAGAAAACCCTCCAGGTCTCCCAATCCGCCAGGCGCCGGCACCCCGACCCACCTGCCACGCCACCGCAAGCTGGGCGATCTCGCGGCCCGACATGCCCTCCGTCAGCCGGGCGATCTCCGAGCACTTCCTCCCGTAGTCAAACTGGGCCAGCTTCAAGCGCCTGGAGGAGGAGTTCCCAAGTGGGGCCTGGGGCTGGGGCCTGAGGTCGCCAGACTCCCACGTGGCGCGGGGCAGGAAGACAGGCACCAGGCCCCCTCCTGTGCTAGGATTGGGGGGACTGTGCCTGGGGAGCCAAACCCTGCCCAACACCCCCACCCTCCTTCCCGACACAGTGGGCTCTTCCTTCCTCCTGGAGCCCCTGGGGGGCCTGGGGGCAGGTCGGTGGGGGGTCAGCCCCGAGACCCCCCTACACTGCACCCAACAGCGCACGGCAGTCCAGTCCTCACCCGACAGTGACGCTGACCACACGGAGAACACCCCACCCACCCCAGCAACGAAGTCTGACTGAAGGCCAAGGAAGCCTTTGTGAGAAGGTCACAGAAGCCGGGCTAGGTGTTGGGGCAGCAACCGGGCGGGAGAGTGGGAGCTGCGGCAAACGGAAGACGAGCAAAGGGAACCCAAAGGCCAGAGAGTGGGGCTCACAGGCACCCACAGGCAGCGGCAGAGGGAACGGTGGGGTGAGCCAAGTCCTTTCTAGAACAGAGAGCAGCTTCTGTCATCGCTACAACAGGAGGGATGTGGGTCAGGCACACACAAGGACGTGAGTGCGGCGCTGTGACCGCATCCCCTGGAGAGGGCTGGAAATAGAGCAGCTCTGCTCGTGCAGACTCAGGGTGAGCGGGGCGGGGGTGCCCAGGGGCTTCTTCTCTAACCACCTGCCGGTTTTGGGGAGTCTGAAGGCTGAAGCCAAGCGTCTCCCTCCAAAGGCGTCCGCCATCAGCCATCACCTGCCGTGCAGGCCTGGGTGTGGCTCCGGGCGCAGGATTTCCTTAAGGCCCCTGAACAGTGAGGACGGCAGACGGTGGAAAAGGTCCCCGCGCAACGACAGGCCGTGGGAGCCAAACCCCAGCTGCAGGTGCAGACGGACCACCCTCGGGTGAGGACCAGAAGGGGCGGCAGGCTCCCAGGATGGAGCTGCCTCTGTGGGGCCCAGAGGGACAGCAAAGGGCGCCTATGCCACACGGGAGCCTGCGCACGGCTCCTGGAAGCCGCAGGGAAGGGAGATGGCGCCTGGAGGTGGAAGCGTGGGGGTGGCCCCTGGGGTGGGGCCGTGGGGACTCGGACACTTACTGCTTTCCTTCCGTGGCCGGCTTAAGAACATGCTTGTCAAAATACATTCTCACCAGGCGCTCCCGCTCCTCTCGCTGCGGCAGGCCGAAGCTGACCATCTCGTCGATGCGGTCGTTGACGGCCCAGTCGAACTGCTCGGGCTGGTTGCTGGCCAGGACCAGCATGAACCTGTGGCCACAGGACGGCCACTGAGGAGCCGCCCACCCAGCACAGCCCCCGGCGCAGGAAGGTCTTTAAACCTCAAGGAAACTGTCTAGAATCTAATATGGCAGCTTTTAAGCCCAAAAAACCCCAGGAAGACCTGGTCACAGCCCTCGGCCACCCACCCTTCCCGGTGGTTCCGTCTGTGCATCTGTGTGGTGGGGCGCTCAGCTTCCTGAGGTTCTGTTCTCACCCCAATTTCACTCCCCCACAGCCCAGCGGCCAGCCCAGCAGGGCAGTGGGAGCAGGAAGGCTGCCTGACCTCACTGTGCGAGCACAGACGGGACCCACACCCAGGGCAGACACTGGGCCATGCCGGGAGCCAGGGTCGTGGGGCTCAGCTGGGCGGAGGCGACACTCGGCTTGGCAGGGACCTGACCTTCCACTCTGGGGAGGGCCCGGGTCAGACAACAGCCACAGCCCGCAAGAGGAGCGTGTCTGAGACAGCCACGTGCTGACCGGCAGGGCGACCAGCGGGCCGTGTCCTCCCTGCGGAGTGGGCTGCAGACTGGACGGGCGTCGCCAAGGCAGGGTGGAGAGATGAGGGCACCTGGGAGGGCCCATGCTGGCCACAGGGTGACCGTTCTGACCACCCACCTCCGGGTGCAGCCCAGAGAAGCAGGGCCAGGTCCCGAGGCTGAGGGGCCCCCGTGCTCCACCCGATACACGGGACCTTCCAGTGCAGCGAGCGTTTCGGTTTCACACCCCAGGGCGTCACCCCCTCCATGGGAGCCCCTCAGCCTCCAGCACCAGGAGCGTCTCCCCTGCTCAGACCACCTCCCTTGCGGGTGCAAAGACAGCTGAAGGCAAGGGGAGGACAGGAGAGGACATGCAGGCTGGGGGGCTGCACAGAGGCCGTGCCCGGCGGAGTGGCTCACTGGGCCACGTGGGGCTGGCCACCTGGCTCTGCCCAGGACGTCCCTGGGGCGTCTGCTCAGTGACACTCCACCCTGCCCCCCGAGCGGGGCCTTGAGAGCCCTTCCCAGGCACGAAGTCCTGCCCTGGCCCTGCCCCACGGCAGATGCGTGTGCTGGGGCTTCTCAGCTTCCCGCTGCCCTTACTTGCTGCTGTGCTGGCCTGTCCTGTGCAGGAATGCGTTCAGGGTCGCCCGGAGGTCCTCACTTATCTTCTCCTGCAGAAGGTAAGTGAGAAAAGCGTCAGTCACTGGGCGGCAAGCCTGAGGTTCAGTCTTACGAACGCCCACTGCTGCAGGCAGAGCCTCCCTCCCTGTTGCAGGAGCACAACGAAGCTTTCGCGGCTCTAAATGCAAAAGCCAAAAATAACTTCAGGACTTCAGGAAACGCCACAGACGTGACTTCAGTTTTCTACCAACTCCTGCAAGAGCGAGCGGCTGACCCAGCCTGGCCCCGGTGCGCCCGCCCAGCCCCTCACGCGGGGCACTCACGGTCGCGCGCCTCCTGAGGAAGGCGTCCGCCTCGTCCACGAAGAGCAGGAGGCTGTGAATGAGAGGGCGGCCCCGCGGGGGCGGCGTGTGAAGGCCAGGAGCAGGCGTCGGAAGCATCCGGAAGCCGGCTGTGCTCGCTGGGCAGATGCCCAGGGAGACTCCTCCCCACAGGGTGCAGGCTCTGCCCCGCCAGGAACCCTCACACTGATCGCGCGGAGACTGAACCCCGCAGCGTCAAGACCCCAGCACTTGCGGCAGGACGAGCCGCTTCCCGACAGGCTCCACCCGAACGCTCCCCGGCCCAGGAGGTGCAGGCTGGAGGCTGCTCACAGCCCACGCCAGGGGGAGGAGTCTTCGAAAGCGAAAGGTCAAAGAGTAGAGGCCAAAGAGAATGGGCCAACCATAAGGAATTGGGCAACATTGGGGAGCAACGAGGCAGCAAGGCTGGGCCAGCTGCACCCTGCTGCAGGGTCACCGTGATGTCTTATTCCGGGTGAACGTCACGTCTTCAACTCTCAGAAGATTTAGTAAAAAAGAAGTGTGCACATGCACCCTCCCGTGAGCACACGCACACCTGCACGCTCAAAGCCTGGGCTGGGCTCCTGAGGCTGCTGACAAGGCCCCTCCACCATCTGCGTCCACCCACCTGCTTTCTAGCCCTGAATCAAACATCCCATCAACAGCCCCGTGACCACAGGGCTCCACACGCAGGGTGCATTTCTCTGTGACAGACCCCACAGCACAAACGCTGGCCCCAAACCCGTGTGGCCGTGAGGACAGGACTGCAGGAAGACAACGGGGTCCCTCCCCAGCAGGCAGCCTGGTGCGAGCGTGTCGAGAGGCATCTCACCCTCGCCGGCTGGTGCTGGCCCAGTCGAAGACCTTGTGCATGGCGGTCACACCTTCCCGCCCCATGGGGGCCACGTCCCCGCCTGTCATGATGGCGTAGTCCATGCCCGAGTGCAGAGCGAGTTTCTGGGCAGGAAGGGGGGGACACCCAGATGTCTCCCCCCTGCAAAGCCGTGCACCCCCCACCACGCCAGAGCCCTGCCTCCAGGGTCGGGCCCACCCCACACAGCCAGGTGCCCCCACCTTGGCAAACAGCGTCTTGCCAGTCCCTGGGGGTCCGTACATCAGAATGTTCCTGTACAGGCTTTTGTTCTTCTTGGTGTTCCTTGTTGCTATAGCGATGTCCCGCACCCGCGCCTCCAGGCTGGGCTGTGGGGAAGGGGAGACAGGGGCCTGGGGACACGCTCCCCACACGCAGACTGCCGAGGGCCTCGGGGATGCTCCGCTGCAGTCCACGCCCCACGGAAGCTCCAGGCTGGGTTTAGACAGTAAACGTACTTCAGGAGCCAAAAGCTTCCGGCAACAGCACAAGGACCCCCGTGGACATAGCACAGCGCAGCCCTGACGTCCCTCCCGAGTACCCGGCCCCCCAGCCCACCCTGCGCTTACTTACGCTGAGGACGACGCCCTCCAGTGCATCCTGAGGCCTGCTGAGGAGCCGCCTGCTGACCTGCGGGGGGCACCACTGGGTCATTGCAGAGGCACAGCCACGCGCTGACCGCCACAGGAGCAGCTGAGCTCAGCTGTGGAAGTGCAGAGCCACGGCAGAACCCACAGCCAGGACCCCGATCCTGGGAACCCAGAACCCGCCAGCACACGTGGGGCCCGCAGCTGGGGTTTGGGTGATTTATGGGTTCTTTGTCGACCTTTATTTTCCCACCCCCCTAGCCTGAGAGATCAGCGGAAACCCTGCCACAATCTCGGGGAGAACACCCATGTCGGGGGGGGGGCGCCAACACTAGCAAGCAGCTGGGCTCTCCCGGGAGGCAGCAGACACTGTGCCACTTCTGGCAGCTTCTCCGACAGAATGACAGCACACGGGAGCCCTGAAGTGCACCCAGGGTCCCAACAGACCCCCGCAGAGGGGGCTGAGGCAGACAGTGAGGGTCTCCCCAGCACTGGTGCAGACAGACCCCCACAGGGTGGCATCCAGGAGCAAGGCAGAGGGTGGATGCAGAAAGGAACCTGGGGAGCCCTGGGCCCCTCACCTGGACGGGGTGCCTCAGCGCCTCTAGCACTGTGATGCGGGAGGTCTCCCTCACCAGGGACGGCTTGCCCAGCCGGGCCTCGAGGAACCGGCCAGCGACCGCCGTGGCGTTCTTGGCAGAATAGACCCCGAGAGCCAGCAACGTCAGCCCAGCCACCTGGAGCAGAGACGGCAGATGACAGACTGTGGCTCCAGCAGACAACCCCCTCGCCACTGCGCCTCCTCTCGCACCTCCTGCAGCCGAGGGGCAGCCACGGCCACGCGGTGGCCCCAGCTGAGTCCTCAACCCCCAATCCCACAGCCAGCCAGGGCTCAGTTACAGGAGACAGGCAAGATGATCGAAAGGCTTATACAAGGCCCTTTCTCTGCAATGACAGGGGAAAGCCTCTGAAGCTGGAGGGGTGGCCAGGCGGCCGGACACCACCGGGGCCATGCCCTCCACTGCCTGTGCTCAGTAAACAAGTCACTCCAGTTCTAGAGGACAAGATCAGGCCCAAATCACTAATTACTTCTAAAAACTAACTGGTCACAGCTGGGGTGGCTCACAGCTATAGTCCCAACTACTGGGAAGGCTGAGGCAGGAGGATGGCTGGAGCCCAGGAATTGGAGGCTGCAGTGAGCTGTGATCTCGCCACTGCACTCCAGCCTGGGAGACAGAGTGAGATCCTGTCTCTAAAAGAAAAAAAAAACTAATCACTGAGCAGCTTCCTCATTTCACCCCGTGACAGCTCTTCTTGTCAGCACTAGTGGCAGTGACATCTGTGCACATCCAGAGGCATGCTGGGCACCCACTGCCGGTGGGCAGTGAGCTGCAGGGCCAGAGCCAGGAGACACGGAGCTGCCACAGCAGGTGGGGCCCTGAGCGCCAACGGGCTCCCGGGACCTGCCCTGAGGCCGGGCTGGCCCCACTCTGAAAGTGCCTGGGGCGTCACGTTCCCGCGGACGGGAACTTCCCAGGAAGACGAGGGGACGCTCCAGCACCTCCCTGTGTCTTCCCTGGAGCCTTTCAAGGAGGACGGCTGAGGTCAGCACTGAGCTGTTGAAAATGCCACAAAACATACGGCTCCAGCCGGGTGCGGTGGCTCACTCCTGTAATCCTAGCACTCTGGGAGGCTGAGGTGGGTGGATTGTTTGAGGTCAGGAGTTCGAGACCAGCCTGAGCAAGAGCGAGACCCCGTCTCTACTAAAAATACAAAGAAATTAGCCAAACAACTAAAAATAGAAAAAATTAGCCGGGCATGGTGGCGCATGCCTGTAGTCCCAGCTACTCGGGAGGCTGAGGCAGTACGATCGCTTGAGCCCACGAGTATGAGGTTGCTGTGAGCTAGGCTAACGCCACGGCACTCACTCTAGCCAGGGTAACAGAGTGAGACTCTGTCTCAAAAAAAAAAAAACAAAAACAAAACCTACGGCTCCATCACGTCCAGCTACGCTTTCTTCTCCTGGTCGAGGAGGAACAGAAAGAAGGGAGCCAAGCAAGGGCTTGTTCCGTGCCAGTGGTCAATGCTCAGAGCACGAGCAGAGTACAAGGAGGCTGGCATGGCTGTCAGGGAACTGGAGAGGCCCTGGAGGCTCTCACGGAACACCCCACGGCCGCCCATCCACGGGGGATGCATGGTTACCGTGGCCGTCACTCTGTCCCAGTCTGTCACGAAGGCACGAAATCCTTCCCCAAACAGGGCTCCAGCTGTCCTGCGAGACAAAACAGCCACATGACCAGGTCAAGGGTGAGACCATGACGCAGCATCTGGCTCTGTGAGGGCGCGCCAAAGCCGGCCCCCGGACGGACCTGCCAGGACAGAGGGCAGAGACCCCCCGCCAGGCCCTGAGCTGCCTGCACAGCGGGGCCGGCAAACACCCAAGGCCCAGACTCACACCAGCAGGTGTCCCGGGTGAGGGCTGCTGTGGCCGGGGCCACGCCCTCGCACTCACCGGATGGACTCCAGGATGGTCTGGCGCCTCTCGGCAGCCTTCAGGCGGATCTGCTCTCGGATGATGTCCGCGTTCTCCCGCTCGGCCTTGGCCCGAGCTCGGGCCTCAGCCTCCACACGCAGCATCTCGTTCTTGTGCCGAAGCTCCATCTCCCGCTCCACGGTGGCTGCCCCAGGAAAAGGCAGGGAGCGCGGCTCAGGCACAGCACGCCCGCCTCTCGGCTCACGCTGCGGGTGCGCAAAGCAGACCTCGGTGGGGCAGTGCCCGGCATCCTAGCGAGCAGACGCCGCCCTTGGGGCCTGCCCCCCACAGATGGAGGAGCCCCGAGACCTACCCTGCAGCCCAGGCAACCCCTCCCAGGCTGTGTTTAAAGAGCCAAAAAAGAATGCAGAGAATTGCAAAGGAAACCCGCTTATGTTGAGACGCGGCTATCGAAGCACCAAGGAAACGCGTGACAGGCCACGTGCCCGGGTATTAACAGGTTAAACGCAAACCCCTAGGGAGGAGCCCGCCACCACCGCGACGTGGTGCCGAATGTCCGCTTCAAGTCCTCAACCAGTGCGCTGAGACACCAAACACCCGACTCCTACTGGACATGCGCACACTGTGGCCGCGTCCGTCACCGAAGCTCTACCGCAGGACAGTAAAGTATGGATTTTCTCCTCAAGTGAGCCAGCGCCAGGACTCCCTGCGCAACCCTGGAAGTGCGCGGCCCAAGAGGACGCCTGTGCAAGAGGCAGCCCCCAACTGCAGAGGCCAAGGACACCCACCTGCTGCAGAAAGCAGAGTTCTCAGACGTGAACCTCGCTGTTTCAGTGTCTCGGAGACCAAAGGGCCCGAAGCAGCCCCTGCCCACTTTGCGCTACCTCCTCAGGGCCCCACCCCAGTGGGGCGAGCACTTACCTCGCCGCATGGCCTCCTGCTTCTGCACAGACTCCTCCTGCTTTCGTAAGTTCTCCTCGTTGAGATGTTGCTGAGAAGAGGCCACAGAGAAAGGGAAGAGCTCTTAAAACCAGAAAAACATTCAACACCAGGCTAAGAGGTTTCAGCTGCTCCTAGCTGGGAAGCTTCCATCCTCCTCTGAGAGCTCCAGCTTTCTTGGGCCCCTTGGAGGCCCGCAGCTGGGCACCCTGACGTGGGCACGGGACATATGCACACCCAGGGCTGGGGCACAAGGAGCTTCTGCAGTGGCCCTGGGCGATCACTGCGTGGCAGATTCCCAGACACCACTGCCCTGACTCACAGCTGTTTTTGCAAAAGGCACGTTTCTTGTCTGTTACATTTAAAAGTTACGATGCCCGCAATAGGCAAAACCATTTGAAAACCCTGCCGTGAACTCAGACCGAGGCCGGAGCGTCCCCGCACATAGGCGGGAGCACCAACACTGGCAGAGCGCCGACAAGGCTTCTTACTCTGCCCCGGGACCTGCCCTCAGCCAATCACCAACCCCCAAATACGGCCTCACCGGTCACGGCCAGGTTCCCTAGGAGGATGGTTCTCACCTGGCGAGAACCCACAGAACACCTGGAGAATCTGCCGATGCCGTGGAGGCCGCGTGGGGCTGCGTGTGCATGGGTGCCCGTGTGCGCCTGCACACGTGTGCCTTTACGTGTCTGTGTCAAATTTCTCTGGACCAGCACCTACCACTAGTAACAGCCTACGTGTCCTCGCCCCGTGCACTCCGGGCGGACGGGCAGACCCCCGCCGGGAGGAGGGCCGGCTCACCTGCTGCCTGAGCTGGTCCTCGTAGCGCTGCCGGGCCAGCTGGTCCTGGTACTGGGCCCTCTGGGGGAGGAGAGTGACCAGACACAGCTCAGCTGGACCCAGACTCGACCGGGCACTGGGGCCCGAGATGAGCTGCCCACCTCCCAGAAACATGCAGACACAGACACTGCCCGTCCACTCAGCCCTGAGGGGTCGCTGGGCTTTGGGGGTTCCACAGGTCGATATAAGAGCTGACACCCTGTAAAGTCTCACTCGGCCAAAAAGGGAGACCCCGAGCTGCACCCAGCTCCCCATCCTGTCGCTCCAGGCCCCAGAGAGCCCAAGTGAACACGCGTGCTCACAGCCTGGTGCTGCCGTGTCTCCTCGCTCAGAGTCTTCCTCCGTTCCTCGGCCTGCACACGGATCTGCTCGCTCTTCAGCTGCTCCACCGCGGCCTCGTACTCCTGCAGAACACGCGCGGCACCTCTGCACTCCAGGCTCGCGCGCAGCACCCGCCCCCCACCCCCCAGCACATTCTCGCCACACCCAGCCTGGTCTGGGAGGCAGGCCCGGGCAGCGTGGGAGTGTGTCCGGGTTGGCACCCAGGCCCACGGGCAGAGAGGAGCACCAGGAAAAGCCTGGGAACGGCCCCGAGGGAGCCCAGACAGTCGGTCTCCAGGGGTGCCTACCACTCCCCTCCCTGGGGTTGCTGCAGGCCCTCTCTGACTGCGCCGCACAGCAGCCGAGGCTGGGGGCAGCGCCGGCACCTGCTCTGTGCTCAGCACGTGCTCCGGCGGCAAGAGTCCTGCCGAGCGCAGTGAAGACGCGCTGTCCTCTGGAAGACCAGACGACCCTTCCAGGGGGCCCTGCTGCACGAAGGCCCTCAGGCCACACAGCCGGCGCCCATCTTGGACCTCCCTTTGCCTCCTTCTGTAGAACCAGGGGCCCAAGCTGCACCCTAGGCCCGCCGCCCTGTGTGCCTGCCCGCCCCCCGCCCCCACCGGCACCAGTGCACCACTCACCTTGAGCTTGGACTGCTGTTCCAGCTGGAGTGTCTGCTCCTGCATCTGTGCGAGATGCAGCGCGTCCTTGGCGTGGCCTGTGGGGGTGAGCAGGAGAGGGGGCGTGAGGATACCCAGACACACCTGCAGCCAGCTAGGTAAGCACTGACATGTGCCAAGGGGCTTTCTGGCAACCCCCAGCCCCACCTCGCCCATCCACACTCATTCCTGGCCAGACTACACCCAAGGCCTCCTACCCCCAAAGGTCGCTGCCCCATCCCCCAGAAAAAGCTTTGCACATTTGCGCGGCCTTATTTCCCAAGACAACACTGGTGAGTGACACAAAAAAGCCACCCACACCCACCAAAGGTAGGACACGGGGTCCAATTCAACAAAAAGCAAGGCAATGGCTAGAGTATCCTTCACTTCCCACGTGACGTTTTCCTAAAGCTTCCAATACCTATCGTCACTGATTTGCTATCAAGTAGGTGCAGATCAGAAACAAGTAAATGAGAATTAAATCAGACACAAGCTAACACACTCAGGTGTGACTACATGCACATTTTATCTTCCGGGGGTATTTTGCTCACAGGGTGGAACTGACATCGGCCAGTATCTGGGTGTTCTGGAAGAACACTAGGCACTTTCCTAGCTCAAGTCCTAGTGACAGGTTTCCCATTCAGTGTGACTATAAAGATTTCCCAGCACACAAAACAAATAAAGAGGGCACCCTCCCCTCCAATTTTCCCAGTTTGGTTCTTTGTTCACTCTGTGTCTCTGCCCTACAGCCTGCCCATGTTTTGAAGGCTTCCGAGTAAATTGCAGACTATAGGGACACATCATGATCTAGAGCTCAACACTTGCTCATGGTTTGGTTTTCTCCTTTTTTTGAGAGAGGGTCTCACTCTGTTGCCTGGGCTGGAGTGCAGTGGCATCACCATGGGTTTTGGAAACTCCTGGCTCCAAGCAATCCTCCTGCCTCAGCCTCCCGAGTAGCTGGGATACAGGTGCTGCCACCACACTTGGCTAAGTTTTTTTTTTTTTTGTAGAAACAGGGTCTCACTCTTGCTCAGGCTGGTCTCAAACTCCTGGCTTCCAGCAATCCTCCCGCCTCAGCCTCCCAGAGTGCTGGGTTTACAGGCTGGTTTTTTCCTTTTTTGGAGGTAAACTGGCACAAGACATGAGCACCTCATAAGCATACTTCACACGTTCCTTAGACAGATGTGGCAGGACACTTTGGCGTTTGGATCGGTCTGTGCTTTGGCATGAACTCGGCTAACAGGCATCAGCATCAAAGCCTGGGAAGGACCTTCGGAGCCAACCTCCTGTGGAGGGTAGACTCTACCCTGGGTCTCCAGTGACCAGAGGAACAGATCATACAGGGACCTACCTCTGCAGGAGGCAGCTCAAAGGCACCAGGTCCCATCCTGTGCGACTGGTGAGGACTGAACAGACCCTGGGGGCCACTGTAATGCCTCTTACCCCAACTGGTAAGGGGCGAGGGTGCCACAGCTCCCTGTGCTCTCATCCCAGAGCAGTCAACAGGAACATGGGTGTCACAGTCCAGCAAAGCTGCCCTGTTTACTCATGATGTAACTTCTGGCAAGCCAACTCAATCTCTGAAGTCGTTTCCTCCCCTGAAAATGGAGCATTAATAGCCCCCTCTCCCAGTGGATTTTTTTTTTTTTTGGAGACAGAGTCTGGCTCTGTTGCCCTGGCTGGAGTGCCGTGGCGTCAGCCTAGCTCACAGCAACCTAAAACTCCTGGGCTCAAGCGATCCTCCTGCCTCAGCCTCCCGAGTAGCTGGGACTACAGGCATGCACCACCATGCCCAGCTAATTTTTTCTATATACATATTTTTAGTTGTCTAGATAATTTCTTTCTATCTTTAGTAGAAACCGGGTCTCACTCTTGCTCGGGCTGGTCTCGAACTCCTGACCTTGAGCGATCCACCCGCCTCAGCCACCAAGAGTGCTAGGATTACAGGCGTGAGCCACCGCGCCCGGCCCCCCACTGACTCTTGGGATAATGAAATGAGAGAAATCACAGGCTGTGCCCATGTGACCTCCCTAAATCACAAGCTCTCAGTTTAAAAAGAACAATAACTCAACACCTTGAAATTACCCTGTGCTAGGAGATGCGCATCCCAAAGCATTAATTAAGCACCCGCTGCACGCAAGGTGCTCTTTTAGGCATCCACCTTTGGGGGATGTACAGGCAAGGGGACTGGTGCACAGACAGCTCTAGGCCTGTGTGCCTTGGCTTCCAAGGACAGGCCCAGGGAGGGTCAGGGAAGACCCCAGGATGAGGCAGCATTGGGCGCTGCCTTGAGGGACAGAGGAGGTGGTCACTCTGTGAGGAGGAGCCGCTGAAGACAGCTCCAATTTGCTTGGAGAGAGCAGCAAGGTCAAAGCAGCAGGCTCAGGCCAAACCACAATGACCCTGCCACCAGGCCAGGGAGCCCGATGAATCCAGGCACCCGGGAGGCTCATGGAGCAGAAGCACCCAGAAAGGTCAGGCTTGCGAAAGGCCTACCAGGCAGACAGGCAGGAGGCACCCTGGGAGAGAGAGTTTGGGGATCCGAAGGGTGGCAACCACAGAGAAACCCTCAGGAGCCAGCAGTGAGGCTGGAAGGATGGCAGGAATGAAAAAGAACCTACACCTGGCACAGAATCCACAGGAAGGGAAGACTGGCGAAGCGGGGGGGCCAGGCCTTCAGACCAGGCATCCCGGGTTCCGCAGGATACCCTGCTTGGCCAGGAAATAAGGGCTCAGTTTTGGAGAGTCAAGGCCAAGGCACTGGAGACCAAGGTAGAGAATGTCCCAGGGCAGGAGCTCTGGGGTGGCCAGGACTGGGGAGCAATTCAGAAGCAGGTGTAGACAGGACGGAGAGGAAGCCCCCAGCTGTTACCCTCAAATACACCTAAGGCCCCTCACAGAGTTCAGTATAACTACGTGGGGGGCGCGTGGGTCAAGATTCAGCTTCTGATAGCGGGAGAACTTTGAAACTCTAGGTATGCTTAGTGGGCAAACCCCTAAAGAGCTGGGACAAAAAGCTGTCCCCCAACTAATCCTGTAACAAGAAATGAGCTCACCTGTCAAAGCCTGCCATTGTCTGAAGTACTTTGAAGCCCAGCCTCCATCCCTATCCCAACCTGAACGTTAAAATTATCTAGCAAGGCCCGGGCGCGGTGGCTCACGTCCGTAATCCTAGCTCTCTGGAAGGCCGAGGCGGGCGTATTGTTTGAGCTCAGGAGTTCGAAACCAGCCTGAGCAAGAGCGAGACCCCGTCTCTACTAAAAATGGAAAGAAATTTGCTGGACAACTAGAAATATATAGAAAAAATTAGCCAGGCACGGTGGCACATGCCTGTAGTCCCAGTTACTTGGGAGGCTGAGGCAGGAGGATCGCTTGAGCCCAGGAGTTTGAGGTTG